AAGGGCGGGCAAGATTCCGGACGATTTATTCAGCCAGACAGCCACCCGATGTCAGGTTTCAGAGTTTGATTTGTTAGAGCAAGGTCAATAATATAGCCTACTGTCAGCTCCTAAAAATAGCCATGTCATCTATAGTAAACAGTGTAGCTAATGTGTACAATAGAAATACTATAGCACTAATATTTTTTATCTTAGTGGACCCTCCATCTTCTCTAATCTCCCTCTTTCTCCCTCCCCTTTCCTTCCTTTTAGTGGGCCTGTTTTCTTGGAGCGCGTGGTAGCCCGGCGCTTATTTAGTCGCTTGCTCTCGCTCTCTCTTCCGTTTTCTCCTCGAGCAAATCGTCCGAGCCGACGTGGAGATTTTATCGCCGGTTCTGGAGCCCTATTGTATTTGCTCTTACAGAATGTCAAGTTTGACCCAACCACATTTATCGTTACGCCTCAATACCTACCATGTTGACTTTGAAATCAATCGACTAACGCCTAGCTGGCCAACGTTTGTCTTCTTCTTATGTAGTACTATCTCCCACTGCCCCATAAAGATTTCATTTTATTTTTCACCATTTGGAGACAAATTAGTAGTGGCGAGATACGACTATGGTGACGGTCAACAACTCTAATTTCAAAGTTTACTGATCATATGCATGGGTTGCCGGCTAGTCATATACTGTATCGTAATATGTTCAGGACAATACATACAGGGCCACACATACACACACAAACAGTATACATAAAAAATTAATTGTTTGATGGTAGTTTAAATTCAGCAAAATATATATCAATATACGTCATTTTGTCCATTTGATTATTGAACAGCTCAATTTTTTTTAGTGAACTTTGGTGTATATGTATATTATGTGCTGGGCCTCTTGCTTTTGCATCATGGAAAACCAAAATGTGCTATAGATTTCCTGCTTCTCTCGGTTCTGTTAAGAATAGCATAATGGTAGAATTTCTCTTCTAAACTCACTCAGGTTCAATTTATATACGAGGCTGTTGAATATCTGATGCTTCAGAAGCCGCTGCTTCCTCTCCTTCCAAATATAAATCATTTTGGCTACAAAACTCTACCTATATAAGTCATCTGAGAACAACTTTTCTCCCCTTCTTTTCTCTAGCTGTATATTCTTCAGAGGTTTAACTGCATAGTTGGCATCCTCAGTGCTGATGCTTCAACAAACATGGACAGTTGAACCACAACGCACACCTCCGCTTCACCACGCCTCCCAATCCTATATATGTTAAAAAGTACATCGAGATACCGGTACCTGAGGGTACTAAATCGTTTCCGATCGTTGGATCTAACAGTACCCATCCTGCCCAGCTAGATTCAACGACCGGAAACAATTTGGTACCGTGAGGTACCAGCGGTACCTCGAGGTACTTTTTGCTCGACCGGAGCAAATCTCAAATATCAAATACAAAGCATAAATGATGTACTATAAGTACACCCATATATAAAGTCCATAACTTCGATGCTATTCAATATGAACACACTACTGCGAAACCGTTTTCTATAGGCAGATAAAAAGCATTTACAGAGACGTGTCCATTGATTGCCGCTTAAAAGGCATGTGAAGCTAAGGTATTTGCACAGGCGGGTAAAGCACCGTCTTTAAAAAGGATCATCACATGTGGTCGCTTAAGACGGTCCTCTATGAAAATGAATTTTATAGGCGGTGGCCGAGACCTCACAACCCCGCATGTGTAGTAGTGCTTTTCACAGGTGGCCGCCTTAAGTCAGATGCCTCCGGAAACCTTTCAGAGATTTTGCAAAGTGGGAAGTATATACCATTGGCTGGCTGCTGCCTGCCACTATGTGTTAACAATTACTGATTCTCTGAAACCTAGAAAGTTAGTGGACGGAGACTCATTGCACAGCAAAACCCCGAGTCCCCGACCATCCTTGTATGACCATAGGGGACCATCGCGAGGAGCTTGAGCATGATTTCTACACCAGGCGATCCATTTGCCTGCTGGTCTTGGAACATGGTACCACTGATGTTCTTACATTACTTTTCCCAGGTCTCTGCATTGTTTTCTCGGTTCATCAGCGAAAAGTGAAAGAGGTAGCAATGTTACAGATAAACCGGAGAGGTTTTAGCCCATCAGTAGGTTGCTACCTCCGTGCTGATATTGCAAAATTTGTGGATGGATGGCCAGCTAAAACCACACTCCATTGCTTCACCATGCCTCTCAATTCTACGTATGTGGCTAACTAAGCACATTCGAAGCAAATAAAATCTCACTGGAATGTGGAGGTCATGGAGAAGTTGACAGTTGCTCATCCCTTGTCCACACTTTCACTTATAACTACTGCCATGCAGTGATAAAGCAATGAATAATTGTGCACCGTTATAAAGTCCATAATTTGGAATTTATTCAATCAGTGTATGCTGACCAAGAATTAATGGTTAAGAGTAGTTGGGAGAAAAAACGTTATATACAAGGAAGTGGTCCTTATTCTAATTTCCTTTGTTACAATTATGAAGTTTGGGCCAACAATCTTAGACCTTAAATATTCTCGTAAATGGTTATTGATTTGTTGCATTGGATCTATTACCCATACAACGATGCTAGCAGCTGGATGCCAATGCTATGATTGATTTCGCAAACCAAAATATGCTATGATCTTCAGTTGCAACATCTACTTATGACTGTATTAATGTCTGGCTATGCCATCGAGCCTCCACTACGAGTATTTTGTTTGATAATTAATTAAACTCAGTTTGGACGCCTCTAAGGTTGTTGGAAGCTTAATGTCGTTGTGTTTCACAATTAGAGTTTTTATGGACCCATTGGATGCGTGGAGATTGTTGGTGGAGACTCGTTGTGCAGTGAACCCTGATCCTGACAATCCTATCCCTTCATCACACGGTTAGGTGTCGAAACTTCAGCTGGGAGACTCATATTCTTGCTTGTCTGCGAGCTGATGTTTCTGCATTGCTCCCACCGGACACCTCCATCCTGTTTTCATGGTGGTTCAGGGCACAGTTTCAGAGACAGTAGTGTGGCTGTTTGAACCGTAGATGTTCTTGAGTTTTTCTGCATCAGGAGTATGATATCTCAATGCGTGACTTCAACAATCACAGATCATTAGCCAACTCACAAAACATTGATTTTCTTCACCATGCCTCCTAATCCTATACATCTACGTGATTTTGTGCTATATATCCATGTGTGAATCAAATCTCTCATCTCATGGACGACTTCATGGTTGCTTTAGGAGAATACTTATGCTCGGGCCTCCGATCAAAGAAGAAAAATCGGTCGCTCACTGCCGCATGCACGGTATGGTGGCTGTATCAAGCTGGCATCTTTCTCCATTCCTCCTTCTCACTGCAAAAGATTTTTCTCCTAAACGATTTAACTATTTTACGATCCGATTACACCATGATATTTATTGTAACTAAATATTTACACCATGATATCGCACGATTATATTTTGATGAAAGAAAAATATATGTTTCAAACAGTTAAAACTATATATTTCATACGAGATAGTTACATGTTTCAATTTATATTCCACTTCGTTTCATAAAATTTAAGCAACTACATGCCACTACTTTCTTTCATGCCATACACTACTTGCTCTCTCTCCACTTCGTCCACATATGCATGCACTTAGCAATCTATAGAATAATTGTTCTCATAAACTACTTATCCGATCAACGATCTGATCATATCGTTGTATTCATTCTAATAAAATTTTTAGAATAAGATGTCGTATGATTATATTTTGATAAAAGAAAAGCATATGTTTGAGACTATTAAAAGTCAATGTTTCATAAGTAATGGCGATATGTGTCAACTTGTGTCTTCACTGTGTTTCACAAATTTTTTAATGTTTCAATCACTGATCTTCTTTTGTTTCACCATGTAGAACTTAATGTCTCACATATGATCAATTGAAACATTTGACCTCCCGATTCTTTTTTATAAAGTCGGCCATCCGATTTGCAGATTCCGCTTGTTTTTCCCTCAATTTCCACGCGCTCTTGTTTTATGTGCATTCAAAGGCTCAAAGTAAAATTCATAGAACGATAAATGATATAACATCGTACCCTCTTATAAACTTCGTAACTTTAATATTATTCAGTCTATGCATGCTAACACAAAGCTTGCAACCTAGCCCCGGGCATCCTTGGTCATGGCCATGGGCCTGGGATTGAAAGCCAATTGTCCATGATAAATTTTCTACGTGGTTTGCTGATCTCATAAAAGAAACACCATAGGATGGCCCGGTCTTGGGTCTGCCCGAAGTATATATCTATGTTTTTAAATAACATTCAATATCCACGTGCTAGCTAGGGAAGCACAACATTTGAAGAGCAAACTGAAAGGCAATATGTTTTGACATGATATTCAATAAATATGTGTGCTCATACATGATTGGACAGACCTTCTGCTAGCGCTCGAAGGAAGATCACACCTCAGAGGTCAATTTGAACAAATTGTGACCAAACATACAAATATTTGACAAAAACCTAAAAATTTTGGGGACATTTCTACAAGCCAGTGTGGGCCGAGATTACCAAAATTTCGAACCGATTTTTTAGACCATGATCAGCCAGTAGTAGCTAGACGTCGACACACTGCCCCATGGATTACACGGGTGTTTATGACCTCGAGATCTACTAATTGTAGAATCAAGTGATGATTTAATTGTGGTGATAAACAATTGTCAAAGGTGAGTGTTTTGTGAAAATATGGTGAATAGTGTTTTTGGTTGTCGGCTCTGTGTGGGCGGTCAGACCGGGCAGGTGCCGTCGGTCAGACCAGTGGTGTTGGAGCGGTCTGACTGAGTTGCTTGACGGTCAGATCGGCGGATTCCAGGTTGGAGTTGGTTTCGGGTTGTTTTCGTGAGATTTATAGATTGCTTCATGGATATGACTTCTAGATGGTCTCTATTCGTATGTAATACTGTTGTGTGCTGATATGAGTCAAGTTGGAGCGAACTTGTACTTGGATATGGAGTTTCTTTGTTGTTCATGTGCAGGTGTTGCTTGAAGCCATGGGAGTATAGCCGGTGATGGATCGGGACTAGGCTTGGGGGAAGTTGAGGTCCAGATGGTCAAGGATATCATGCGGGATGGATAGGCTAGAGAATAATGCACGTGGTGGTGAAGGTTTCCATATGGAATACACATGGTGTTGTGTGCGCATGGAAAGCGAAGTCAAATTTGGATTGGAGTTCAAGTCTGGAAAGTTTGGAGTTTGTTTTTTGTACGGGAAGGTTTCCTAGGGGATTAGGACTTTTTGTATGAGTTGGATTTGTGGCTAGGGGCAACCATGTTATGGGTATAAATAGAGAGGGAGCATGTGGTCTCCCTGTATCGGATTTAGAGAGAGTTGAGTTAAGAGAAAAGTTAGTGTTTCGAGTTTAGTCGAGATGTTGGTAAGGAGTGTTGTTGGTGCACTTTGTAAACACATTTTGATGCAATAAAGTTGTTATAATTTCAAGAGTTTCATCAATACGTGTTTTTCTAGATCCTGACGGTTTAACCGGAAGCGAGTTGGCGGTCACATCGGCGGCAGGGAGGTGGTCCAACCAGTGACAAGACGGTGGTCAGACCGGCGGTGTGCAGGCAGTCCAACTAGTGGCGGCACTGCGGTTAGACCGGAGTTGATCTAACGGTCAGATTGGCTACGTCGAGATCTCCATCGACTTCAAGGGTAACTTTGAATTCCGCTAAAAGTTTTGATTTTTGGTAGTACAATCATTCACCCCTCCTCTAGTTGGCTTGGTTTTTACTATTCGATCCTACACTAATTGCATAGCAGCTAGCACTGCAAATCGAAATGGTATCATACTATAATTTTCAGCAGTAAAAGTGAGGTTATGGACATGGCTTGGTAAGGATTCTGGATGCCTGAAAAGGCTGCTATTACTGTAGTTTATTCATGTATAGGTAGGCTTCCACAGTTCTATAGTTGATTCACCAACTATGGCTGGCCCATCTCTTCCATTCACTAGAACAGCAGGCACAATCACTTGTTACCATGTCAAGATGATTTCTCGTGTGGTGACTTATTTTGCCTTCTGGACTGCAAAGCTGTTGTGTTGCAGTTAATTAAGCCAGAGAGGTTACACTGCATCACGACTGCTCCTGAACACCATGACTCGTATGAACTTGGATGATTTGCCAATTCGTAATATGCTCATTTTCTTCCTTTTGTCTCCCAATCCTATTTGTGTAGACAACAGGAACTTGTACATAAAGCACAGAAGCTCTCGTATGGGTATGTAGGCCTCATATATAGGGAAGTTCTTGATTGACAACGGTCTGAATTCATGCGATAGGTGGTGTATGGAGCTTCAGCGTGCCTTCTGGTCTAGGAACGTGGTGATCACAACGTTGTTGTTGCAGTGCTTGTCCCAGCCCTCTACATTGTTTGCTTGGCAATTCATCCGAGCAAGCTGAAAAATGTAAACCAGAGAGGTATTTTTGCATCTGTGGTTTGCGACTTCAAAGCTGATACTTCAACACAAATAAATGGTTGACCAACTCATAATGCACACATTTGCTTCACCATGCCTCCCAATCCTAACATGGCTATGCTACATAAGAAGCACTAAATCACTACTTAGTGGTACGTATATCTCATAGAGAAGTTTTATCTCCGGTTACTTGGCTTTGTCTCCCGTCTCGTTTTATCTACTGTCAAAGAGGCGAACAATTAAGTATTGGTTGGCATTTCTCATTTTACATACAAATAAAACTTTTTAGGCCCATGTTGGAGGAGCCCCAACAGGTTAATTTTGGAGGACTGGCTGATATATATGGTTGGGAAGGGTCAAGATTTCGGACGATTCGTTCAGCCAAATAGCCACCCAATGTCAGGTTTCAGAGTTTGTTTTGTTACCGAATGTCAAGTGTGACCCAACCACATTCCTCGTCGTTACGCCTAGATACCTACCGTGTTGACTTTGAAATCGATCGACTAATAATGCCTACCTGGCCAACGTTTATCTTCTTCCTATGCCGTACTAGCTCCCACTGTCCCCATAAAGATTTCATTTTATTTTTCGCCATTCTAAGACAAATTAGTAGTGGCAAGATACGACTATGGTGACGGTCAACAGCTCTAATTTCAAAGTTTACTGATCATATGCACGTGTTGCCGGCTAGTTAATATACTGTCTTGTAATATGTTCAGGACAATACATACAGGGCCACACACACACACAAATAGTACACACATGAAAAATTAATTGTTTGATGGTAGTTTAAATTCAGAAAATATAGATCAATATACGTCATTTTGTCCAGTTGATTATTGAACAGCTCAATTATTTTTAGTGAACCTTATTAATTACTTGAAACCTTATTGACCAGTTTGCTCACATCGCTGCGGCCCGCATGGGTCATCTACAGAAAGCTGTCGATAGCAAGAAAATCAATTGGGACCAAAACAAGGATGTTTAATTAACTGGAGGCTTTGAATGGCTTTGTTAAAGTTCTTCTCACACTTGATTTTTCTATGAATCCATTTGATAAGTTATATGTATATAGTCTCGCGACTCTCACTGCTCAGCTAACCCTGATTTTTCATTAGCTATGGCAGCCGGAACCATTTGCATCTCTAGCTTGGTTACAAACTGGTCAATGTGTGCTGGCTTGTCGAAAATTTGGAGCAAGAGGCAGACAGGCAGTTGTGTTACAGTGCAAACATGTGGCTTTATAGCATCGATCGGACTCTGCAAGCTCAATGTGGATACGTCCTCAGGTCTTGATTGCTAGCCAACTCGATGTGTGCTCCTGTGATTCACGATGCCTCACAATCCTGCGTATGTCGCTAAACCACATGCTTGGGAAGCGAACTAAAGTTCTCATTGGTATGTAGATTTCATGGAGAGGTTGTGGGTTCCCTTATGCTTGTATACATCTTGCTTCTCTCTCTGCTACTCTTTCGACTGAAGGGGAAGAAAATACAAGGAAAAAATAATTCACTACTGCACACCCTTATAAAGCATAGAAAATCCAAAAAATACCATCGATAAACATTCAAATCCAAGAAATATTATGGGCGAGTGCGAGTTCCATATCAAGCAAGCGATTTATCCTTGAAATATCATCACCATTATCTAGGGTTCCGTGTATCCCACACCGTTAAATATATTATTCATCATATAGCACTTAACAGAATCAGTCGCTTGTACGATGACATTTTATGGAACTCCATGAAATCGTATTTGTAGATATCATAATTGTGCGGTTGTTAATGGCATTTCTTGAATTTTCTCTAACTTTAATGCCATTCCATTTGTACATGTTGTAATTGAAGCATGCGGGATCCACGGAGTTGGGAGAAATATAAAATACAAGAAGTTGAAATACAAGACCAAACCTCATCTAATTTTATTTTGCTATATCTTTAAAATTTGAGCCAAATACTTTTTGAGCAAAAATGTTCGATTCCCTGACTTCAGTTTGCCCCAACGTGCTCTGTACCAACTGAGAAAGCAGCTAGCGTTGGTTGTATAGCAAATATGTTTAACCTTTGAGTCAACCAAAAAATTCATAAAGAATGTAATGTAGTTATTTATTGAACCGACGGTTAAACCGGTGAACAAGCGGTTGGACCAGGGAGCCTTTGAACAGGTAGACTCACTGTTTCGATCACCGGTCTGAATTTAACAACTATGTGTGTGTGTGCACTTCTGTGTGTTCATCTCCAGAGATCTATTGTGTGTGTCCACTACAATTTGTTGCTCGTGCGTGTGTGTCATCGCTTGAGTTTGCTGCTCCGTGAGTTCTTCGCATCCTTGGGCAAAGCTGACATTACTCTCACATCATGTTCTTGTCTGAGACTCTGAATACTACTGGGATCTAGAAGCCATTGCGTTTACAGGAATTCAGTTATTCATAAGCCATTTCATTCAGTTTACAGGTATTAGAAAGATTTTGCATTCCATTCATTGTTCAAAACATTTCTCCCAGCTGCTTGCAAGATGAATTTACAACTTACTAGTTGTGTGCCCGTGCGTTGCAACAGGAATCAAAACAAATCATGTTCAAAGCTAGATATTCACCCCGCCGATAGCCCTTTAATGATTCATCAAAGCCAATCTGTGTAAAGCTCGCCACATATTGATTATCCGATCAAGTAATTTGCAGTCCAAAGTAAATCAAGTATTGCCTTAACTATTCTCGGTTTATAAAGCTCCCCTAGAAGTTCATATCTTCACATCTGTGCATGCCTTCAGAAGTCAAAACACAAGCTGGCAAAGATCTTCCGAGCACACACTGTCCCCATACTTCGCTCCTTGACTTGCCTGGTGGTGAACATTCTACCTATGAGCTGTAAAATGTTTACGAAGGTGAAATACATCATATAGAGAACAGAAAGGATGAATGGTTCAACATGTTGTCAATTAAAAAATTGGAAAGAATTAGAACGCTAACCTTTTTGTTTTCAAAAAGAACAAATTATTCCTTGAGCTTAGGCCTTCACTTACAGGTATTTCTCATTTCACAATTGAAGGCAGCAAAATGAATCACTGAAACATATGAAAAAAAAAAACTGCTTACTCACATCTACGGAAACAAAATTGAGAGCACTTATTTATTTAATATATGTATGTACTCCAACCAGATCACTATTGCGCAGAGCAAAATATGTAGAACATCACATAAATAAATCTAAGCCAAGATGCTGCAAAACAGTACCAATCCGTCCTTAAAAATGTTAGAATTAGAATTGAACAAAGACCCTAGAAACAAATCGAGGGTGTCACCAGACAAGCTATAAGGGAATAATCTCACTCTTCTGATTTTGCATATAAATATTAAGAAATGAGATGTAATCATGTAAATAATGAAAATCACTTCCATTTTGGAGTGAGGACGAAGAGATTGGTATCCGAATAGAACCAGAAATTCCAAAGCAAAAGTTGATTGTCCAACTTCAGGTTTCGAACAAAAAAGGAATTCTTAAATTATACAGATATATGATATGCTCCCTCCATTCCAAAATATAAGAATTCACACTTTGTACCACAATAGAAGCATCTGCACTGATTCCCATCACTTCAATTATTCCAGAGCCAATCAGATGCTCAGGAAAGGAATTTAAGCAATTCAAAATTCAAAAATTGATAACTGAATTAGTAACTAAAATAAAATCTTTTGAGAAATCCCTGTATTTAGAACGGAGGGAGCATATCATCAATTCGTCGATCCATCATTCCAACAAATGAAAACTAAGAAAACGCTAATTAGTAAATTCATGGGAGTGGCAGCAGGTAAGTTTGGCATGCGGTTGCGCCAGCAATTACCCTGGTACCAGCAGTGCGATGCCATCAACCAGAGTTCGTCACCTGGAAGCGAGAGGACCGGCGTAGGTGGCGGCGGACTGAACAGCAGTGGAGGACCTGACGACGACGACGCTCGCTGCAAACGACAACAAAGCCAAAAGCTGTCATAAGCATCCATGCCAATTTTAGAAATCTAAAGATTTGTTTGTACGCACGCAACTGCAGAAATTGTGCAGTAGTATATAATTTCACTTTATTCAAACCATGAAAGGCATTCAACACGGAATGTGGTTAATGCGGGACACCATATCTAATTAACACTCCAATACTCCATCCTCCAGAAGCATGTACATATCAAATATGAAGAACTAAAGAGTACATTTTTGTTTTGATATTGATATGAACTCCAAATAAACTATAGCAAATACCTCGATTATTTTTGACATATTAATGTAATTATGTTAAGGTATATAGACCAATTGTAATCTAATTTTCACTTCAGAGAAAACATTATTCTGAAACCAACCACAGGGCTAGCGAAATATTGTGTATCTTACTTCTTTGATAAAACATATGCACAAAATGAGGTAGAAAATGTACTGCTCACGTGAGAACTGTTTACATACCCACATTGCCATGGCTGAGAAACCACAATACCACTCCATTAATCTGGAAGTAGTAAAACATAGTAGTGGACTATGGGCTTTTGATCACAAAAGATCATGATAGTTCTTGATTATCTGACAAAGGGAAAGAAAAGCGCCTCTTAAAGATAATAGCAATTAATAATAACTATATAGTCCAGCGTACGGGGCGGCGGACTGAATGGTGGTGGAGGATTAATTAGAAGATTTCTTTAGAAGCATTTTGTATATGTTGTATAAGATTAATTAGAAGCACATCAGATTTAATAAACTATACTGAAAGCTGTAGCAAAAAGAAATTAGTTAAACAAACCCTTATCTTTTTAAATGCACAAAAGCAATCTGTCAAAGACAAAGAGAAAAATCCAAATTGTTTTTGTTTTTCCTCTAGATTTATGTCAGATCATTACTAAATTATATCTACAATAATGCAGTTCTCATATTTTGGAGATATAGAGGTAGGGTTCTGCAAATAGAACAAATCTTCAAATAGAACGATCACATTGTGTATCCTGATAGATTTGTCCTCGATATTCTTTATATAAAGTAGAAAGATAGCCCGCGCATTCACGCGGGGATGTATTGTACACAGGGTTAAACTTTTCGGTTTAGCCGATTTGATCGGGCATCACTGAAATACCGAAATTTCCAAAATTTTGGTATAAAATTTCCAAAAATTTGAACAAAATTTAGTTGAATTTGGACAAATATTATCAAAATTAATGAAAAAATTCGGCCGAAATAATATCATATCTGAGGGGTCCGAAATGATCGAAATTTCTGAAATTTGGAAATTTTACTCCGAAATTTCCAACCTGATTTGTACATTGTGTTTGATATATATATATATATATATATATATATATATATATATATATATAAACAGAATATCAATTGGTTGACACCTCCCATGTTTAAACGTACTTTTTTATTTGAATAAGACACATCAGGTGAGGCCTCCGCTGTTTTTCGGCATTTTGCTTTGATAATTTTTCCAAGATATTTGTTTGGTTTTAAAATATATCATATTTGATACATCTGTATAAATAATTATCTATGATCTCTTTAATATATAGAAGGAAGTTCGATTTAGTTTTTTTGGAAAACGTGCCTGACAAATCAATCATAAATTAGAAGTAAGGTGTTTTGTCCTTTTTTAATAGAATGTTTATTTGCCTTTTTTTAAACAAATTCTAAAGAACTATATTGTTAATAAATATGTTTTATTTGTACCATCAAGTAGTTCTCCTTATAGTAGGTTTAAGTTGATGCAAGTTGTTACATACTTATATATAAATTAATTAAGACATGTCATATACCTCGCTTCCTTGTGATCTATACTATCTTTTTTAAAAGAATATACCTAGTTAACATGAATCCAAAATTTTAAATTTAATAGTAACAAATATAACTTTTCAAAGAACTATATACTGTGAACCTTAGTGTGGTTTATATGTGTAATAATATGTGGAGAAACTCATAATGCTATGATATAGGATAGATGTAAGGCCATTAATGTCTAAGCATTTTAAAATTGTTACGAAAATGGAACATGCAATGGTTGGTCCAATTTTAGTGAAATGTAAGAACCAATATTTTTATGAACTTATCATGTTTTCTCTAAATAGTTTAATTTAGTCCCTATTGACATTTTCTATTACCTGCTTTATTTTATATTTTATACAGTTCAAAATATAGTCTTTATGGATCTTTAAATCATTGTTCTAATTATAAATACAATAATATTTAGATTAGAAATCAGATGAGCTTGAAATTTATGCATTTTTAATATTTTTATTATTTTTGGCTATATAAACAGGAAGGGATAGAGTGGAGAAGGTCAGAAGGGATGGGACGAGTAGTGCCGTGTTGTGCGTATGTTTGGGGGGAGGGCGAAGTGGAGGGGTGGATTTTTCTATTTTATCTAAATGATTTAAGTGAAACCGTTGATATATTTTTTTTCTCACATTTTTTGTTATTTTTTCTAATTTTTAAGACATAACACATTGCGGCTTAAGATTTTCTTAAATGTATATCTATTGGGTTAAAATAATGGATCTACCTATTTAAGTGGAAACTGATGGTCAGATGATTTTTCTTCCAATTTGTAAAGTTTTATTTTTAAGACATAACACGTGACACCTTAAGTGTGCTCAAAGGATGTACAATGATTTACAATAATATAGTACTTGTTTTCATTTTGTGTTATGGTTTGTGTTTTTTCTATTTGGTTACTATGCAAAGGAACGGTGTCTATGCTTAAATGACGAATTTTCATCTTTATAGATTGAAATATGGGTAACATGGATCTTAAATTATCTATTTAATTATAAATAAAAAAATTCGAATAAGTTAAAATTATGATTTAACTTTAGAATTATAATTATTTGGCTTTCTAATTATTGATCTTTTTTTTACTTAGTTAAAAATTAGGAGACAAAGGAATTAAATGAGTGAGCAGAGGAAGAGAGAGTTGAAGGGAGGAGATTATGTGGGCATATAATTGTAATAATTCCCGGGTTGTAGTGTTTTAGTTGCTATTAGTTTTTTAACTAAAAATTAAAAAATGATTTATTGTTCGATTAAAATCTATAGTTTTTACTTGTCTTTTCCAGTATATTCGTAGTAGATATTAAAAATACGAACACTACAATCTAATAATCTAATAATGTTATTTTGACTTATTCTAATGTTATAATGGGGAGTACTTTTTTAAAGCATTCGTTTATTTTACTGTTATCCATATAGATCTAGTTTAATTATTCCGAAGTCATATATGGTGATAAGATATATATCATTATCTTTCTATAATTTTATAATTATTCGAATGGCACACAAAAATCAGAAAATATAGCCCCAAAGTGACATATTTCTTCTCAAAATCAATATTACAGTGGATATGGGTCTTTAAATGTAAAATAATCTAAAGACATAAGTTCATCAAATATTAGTAGTGTGAGTTAGATGTTATAGTTGCTTATTTTGTTGCATAAGTTTTGCTTTCTAACTAACATATTCTGTAAACATTACTCATAGTATATTCATTTTATTTTCATGATTGTAGACCTAATTTAATTATTATCATTATTTTATATGTTTTTTATAATTGCTTGAATGGCACGCAAAAGCCAGAAATATAAACCAAAATGACTTTTTTTTTCAAAGCTAAATTGTAGTGAAATATGGTCTTCAACTGTAAATTTAGTTATAAATAATTTAAAGATTTTGCGGATCAGAAATTAGTTGTATGATTAAGAAGCTTAATTGTTTAACATGATATTATTGCTTATCTAACTAATAAGGCATGAAAATAGGAGAAGGAATAGGTGAAAAAGTGGAGAAATGAATTGAATGAAGATAAGGCGTACATACGTATATTCGCTTTTTTTAAAAAAAGTAACTTATACATACAAGCTTTGGTTGGCCCGGGTTTAGGAAAGGAATTTTTTTCTTGAAAATTAATCTAATAGTTGTAAATAATGGGTCCACCAAATTTAATGAAAATATGATTATTTTAGAATTTTAAGAATATTTCACTAATTTATTAGAGCATCACATGGCAACTTAGAAGCGTTTGTAGGATGTCGTAGGACGAATTAGGAGCATTTTTGGAAGTTTAATGGACTTTTAGACATCTAATCTAATGTTCTAAAACATCAATTGGGTCCCAATTTAAATGAAAATCGACAGTGGTATTTATGTAAAGTTATAGAGTATGATGTTTTATCTTTTTCTATATGTACGTGTAAGTATATATATATGTGTTCTTTCGGTGTTTCTCTGATCATGTATTAAGTACGTATAGGAGTATGTTCTTTCGGGTTTATCTGATCGTGCTATACTCACGTATGTACTCGCATGTCTTTTTTTTTGGTGAAAGAGTAGCTTAATAATAGGATCAGAAAAAGGAGGGAAACCGGGGATCGATGGAAGGGGAGGTTCAATGAAAAATTTAATCTAATGGTGTAAAGTATCGGGTCCACCAATTTAAGTGAAAATCGACGGTTAGATTTGACAGAGCCACGTGGCGGCCTAGGAGCGTTTGTAGGAGCCCCACGTGGCGGCCTGAGAGCGTTTATAGGAAGTTTCATGGACTTTTAGTATATAATAGATAGATTTCAGTCAGTTTCAGGGACACGCTCAAGTGCAGAGAATCATTAAGAGCTTGTATTCAGTTGTAAATTTAGATTTCAGACACATAAAAAATGATTTAATTTTTTTCTTACTGAAAAAATTACCTTATCTTCTAATGCTATCACACCTATTTTATATGCTCTACAGGGGGGCATATGTTACTCTAATATAAGGATGCAATCATGAATTCATTATATATACAATACCTCCAAGTGATTCACCAGTAATCCCAATCCTATAGAGATCAGCATCCTCCCGTTCACTGAGATGATCTCCAAGCTTTATCAAGTCCAACACCTGAAGATGTCCAAATCTGGTTAAGGTTCATCATTGAAAATTGATTTATCATGAAATACGACAGCTTATACTATCTATACCTGTGTATCACGTTAAAACTATGATATATCAGATCATAACATCAGGAACAATTGTTTGAGAGAAGCAAAACAAAATAGCAAATACACGACTCAAGGGAGAATCCTGATACAGTAGAGCGCAATGATGCTATTTCATCTGGGCTAAGCATCCATAACTTTTAGCCCCATGAACAGAGGCAGACCAGTTCAAATTTACAGCATGGTTTATTTTATTGCTGAATTAGCTAAAAGAATCTCCTAAATGGCTGTGCATTTGGAATATGTCATAGATAGCAATGTTGCTGTACATTTGGAAAATGTCGAAAGAAATAAATCAAAGATCAGATTGTGAATTTGGAGGTGATTTACCAAATTCTGAATTAAATACCATTTGAATCCTAAGATAAGAAAAAAAAACTTAAGAATCAAAATCAGAAGTTCTTTATATAATGTTGAGTAATCAAAATCATTAGGAATATCAAGTGAATCAGGAATGGAGTATGCGTGCTGTCAAAAAATAATGTCATTACAAAGGAACAACTAAATCTTTGATGTGGTAGTAGTACAGGGTCTTACTTTGAATATTTCCAAGGCTGAAATGAAAAAAACTTCTGCAATATGGGTAAGGATGTCAGGAGATCTGTTGCAACACCTAGCTAGTAACAAAATTCATGGCTTGAATCTTAGGAACTATCAGGCTTGTTCGCCGGCAGTCGGATCTAACCGAGAAAAAGAAAGCGCATCTGATGCAGAAATCGATTGATTCCCCTATTCTAGATCGATCGGGTATTCCCTGTACGAGCAAGTCCACGGATTGTTATATCATGACGACACAACCATGATTTCAGCTCACCCGGTGTAAGTATTACTTCCTGTTTCTTACAGAAAATCATTGTTCATTTATTAAAAACTGAAAATAGTTGTATGGGGTTAAAAGTTTCAGAAGCTTTTGGAGTCATGCATTACTGTTACAGGGATGGAATAATGAGTATATTGTTGAAACTAATTTGAGATAACATCCTCTCTTATGTATCCTGAATATTGAAGACTACGATCATGCAAACATAATTTCCTATGCAGCACATTGCAGCCATTACTCCATCAGCTTTTCATGCGGATTTTGTTTGATTCGATATCCAGAAGAAAAAAAATACAAGGTATTGAGTAATTAAACATATCCCATGCACATATCATTGTGATAACCTGTGCGGCCTGCAAGAGCTCGGTTCGTATGTCCTACGTCAAAAGAAAATATGCCACTTCAGTCTTTCAGAGACATACCAGGGAAACACCAGTGAGTGGACGACTATGAGCAGATGGACAACGAGCGGAACCAAAGCAGAATAGTTGAATAAATTGGCTAGACTACAGTACACAGCAGAACAATTGAATAAATTGGGTAGATAACTGAATAAATTTGCTAGAGTACCAAATGTGAAACATAAATGTCTTTTTCTTTTTTGAAAGTGACAAAACCAAATTGGGGAAACACAATGCTACTGTGATTCAATTAAACTGATTACTCCAAATAAATTACAAGAACAACATCTATGTAGCTTATTAATTTGCTTAGGATTACAAATGAGAAGGGATTGAAGGGCCTGTGATTCAGATTAATCTTATTTATCCATAGCAGGGGCAGATCCAACTTGGACTGGGGGGGGAGCAAACAATTAAACTAACTAAGAGAAGAGCATCATCCAGATCTCGAAGAGAAGCTATGGTTAACGCAATAAAATTCCAGGCAAAAATGGGTGGGACATAGAGAGATGAATGAGAAAAAGGATGTGGATGCTCACCAAGGATGCAGTAGGACGACGGCGCCCCTCCCATCCCTGCTCTGTTCGCTAGATGGGGCTCGGAGCGGAGTAGTAGGCATCGGCGGCGGCGGCGTCCGCGACAGGGAGGAGGAGGAGGAGTCAGCCCGACAGCGGATCTGGAGCTGACTCAGCGGCGGGGGCGTTGGCGGCGGTTGCGGGTGGGCGGAGGATTCGGTGTCGGTGGCGGGTGGACGGAGTAGGCGTTGGTGGCGGGTGATGGGGAGGACGACGATGCGGCGGGCGGCGGCGGTGGACACTACGGCGCAACCGGAGTTGGGTGCGGCGAGGAGGCGGCGCGGGGCGTCGGCGGTTGAGGGCAGAGAGGAGGCGGCGCGGGGCGGCGAGGAGGCGGCGGCGGTCGAGGGCGCGCGGGGCGACTGTGGTCGAGGGCGGTGAGGAGGCGGCGCGGTCGAGGGGCGCCTAGGACGCGGGACGCGCGGGGCGGGGCGCGGGTCGCGGGGCTTGGGGTTTTTTTCCGCTGCGGAGGAGCGTGTACTTTTTTTTTTCGCTCCAAACGTGTCGACGTACGTTTCTACTTTGGATCGCGTGTCTGTTTTAGCTTCACCATCACCAATCCAGATTTTTTAAGTAGTAGAGATAATACACCAAGGAATCTTCAATACATCCAACATCATAAATACAACAAATTGGCAGCATTAACCACATTCTTCTTGTCAAAATTCAGAATGGTTTTCTTTCTTGAATACATATAGTTCTTGCCAAAATTCAGAATGGCTTTCTTCCTTGAGTGCATATAGTTCTCGATTTGTACTGCTAATTATTCATTTATGACACCAATTCGAAGTAGCTTCTTACCAAAATTCATGTTCTTGATACTTTGACAAACTTGCAGCCTTGAAAAAAAATTCAGATGAATAGTTAGCTGATATGGATCTGGATCTATCCTGAGTTCCTGACTAGATCGATCCTGGAGGGTACTAGCCAAAGTACTCTTCACTGGTCGCCACTGCCCACCGCCAACTCCACCATGTTGCCGAGTTGCAGAGAGAGGAGAGATTAAAGGTTTGATTCTGAGGAGAACATGAACCTGAATGTGAGATGGAAGCGGGATAGACGATGGGAGACCAGCAACTGGAATGCTTGAGTCCAGTCCTCTTATTCCCGACAACTTCCATTCCTGTAGTCCCGATTGAGGTAAATTCATGGATTTTACAAGGTGTGGAAAATCCTCGGAATACTAGCGTGCTCAATTCGTCTATAGCCTTGATCTGGTGGGTGTGTAGCATGTAACTAAAGTGCTGCTACGGTAATGACGTGGGGATCCTTGGGTTCCAACCTCCAACAGCTGCGCTTTCGTCTTGCGGCCCACCAAGGCCTCAACCATGGATCTGCCCCTGTTTGTGAGCTGCAAAACTTCTGAGGATAACTTGCCCTAAGCTATACGATTGTGCCTATGGTATTCCTGATGTCTTCCAATCCTAAAGGAGTGTTCATGGATGGCATGGACATGTGTTGGTAGATGCTCACCATGCATATATATGATGTTATTCAGTTAGCATTTAAATTCTTGCTTGTTTGTGTCCAAGATATATGTGTCGTGTATTTTAGTAGAATCTAGGATGAAACATATATACTTGGTTTCCATGTGCATATATATACCAAGGGCAGTAAATTAAATGGGTTTCAAAGAACTATTGGATAGAGTTTTTGCTGAGGTGTGGATGAAAGACAAGGGAAAGAAATACAAGCTTTCAGGTTTAAATAAAGTTAAGAATAAGAGATGCAGCAAATGTCCATAGACACGTACTCCCTCCGTCCCAAAATATAACAGCTTCTCTACCAATATTCACTTCTCAACCAATCCCAACCCTCCACCATTCACTTTTTCCACCTACCTCCACTTCTTAAACAATTACGACTCCATTGTATTTAATTCTATCTATTTTCTTAATAACCGTGCCCAACTCTAAAACTCTTTATATTCTGGGAGAGAAGGAGTAATAAATAACATCATGTGTATACAAGGACCGAGAAAAATAAAAGATACAAGAGGGTTACAATTAAGTACTATTTAGTTCGCATTAATTTCTGAGTTCACATATACAGATAATCAAAGTCAGCTTGCATTCATATTGCATGAAGAAATGCCTACTACGGAATATATTTTATTATGAAAAAAGGAGTGTAATAGATAGCTAGCCTAACAACAACGATGGTGAGGGGAGTCAACACAAACACATAGCACAAAGCACACAGCTCTCAAAACTCATAACTCTCTGATATCAAAACCACTGTTCAGTGTTCAACATCAATCCCAGTCACTCGGTTACCAAGTTAGTCAAGGAGTAGTCTAGCTAGTATTGTTGTTGTTCCACTGCTCGTCACTGCCCTCCATGATGCGTGCCATGTCTTGTTGAAAACATCACAAAGGGGGGCAGCTGTGTTATACAGAAACCATGCATATGGATGTCTAACAGCACCAGGATACTATAAACTCAATGTGGATACTTTTTCAATTCATGATGATTAGACATCTCACTGAGTGCTCCATTGCTTCTTGATGCCTCGCAATCCGACGTCCGTATGATGCATTTTTTCCACAGCATAAACCACTTTGGTACGTGGATTACATGGAGAAGTTGTAGCCGGGATCCCATGTTTTGTTCTTTGCATCCCTCGCTGTGCTCTTCTTTTATCTGCCTAAAAGTAGAAAATTCATAATTTTGATGATATTCGATTCGGACATGATGGGAAAGCATGTGGGAGACGAAAATGCTTAAGATCGACCAGCTGAAGTATATTGAACCAGTTGTCATTCCATTTTCTTTAGCTATAATTACAAAATTGGTCTAAAAAAACTAATTATAATAAAATGAGAAGCAACTTAAGATTCTAGATTATTCTCACCAGCAGAATCTCAATCTCAAGTTCTCCAACATAGGGTCTCACCAGCAGAATCTCAATCTCAAGTTCTCCAACATAGTGCTTCCATGTTCAATACATCCAGAGTGATCAGGAAGTTGTGTTATATTGAATCCTAGGTTTCTACCCCATTGGAAACCTGGATGTCGCTACATGTCCAAGCTATGACGGCTGGCTAAATCACAATACCTTCCTTTAGACCATGATGCCTCTCATTCTTATATGTAGATGTAGCTACGCTACATGCCTGCTAACTATTGCGTCTTTCATAGGTGTATACATCTCAAAAGTTCTCGATCAGCATAATTTGAACTCGCTTCTTATTGCTCTTGTTTTATCAGTTGAGGAAGTAGAACACATAATGGAAAAAAAGTTCTTAAATGATATGCCGTGCAACCGTCCTGGTGGTGGGGTGCGAGTTTGTGTACTTTCTTGTTGTTCTGTTAATGCAATGATATGACATAGCATGTGCTAGTATGTAGTTAGAAAAAACTGATATAGTATGCTAAAGTAGAGGAGAGCGCATTGACATGTAGCCTAGTGATTATAGTGCCTAGTATAGCAGCATCCCCGTGGCCTTAGTTTGACTCCCCATAGGAGCGGATTTTCATGACTGCGTTAAAAAAATAGAAACCCTAGCCACCCTGCCTTAAGTCTTACACGTGACGTGTAGGCACGTCCTAGGCTGCGTAGAGGGAGCCTTCGTAGTATTTTGTATGTTCCAAGAGGGGCGAAATTTCCATCCACGACAATTTTTTTGTGTTTTAAACAAATGAAAACAATTCCTTATTCAATTTTGTTTTCACTATGGCTATAAAGTTTGAGCGCAAATGGCTCTTATTTCTTAATGCATGACAATATGGTGCCTAACTAAATATATTTCACTTGTGCTTTTCCCACCAAAGCAACAATGTTTTCACTTATCTGCTAGTCTTGATATTCTGAATTTCGTAGTGCCAAGTTCCTTTGAAATAAATTGAAGCAAACTCGTGGCTACCACCAAGATAGAAACGTCATCTCAACCAGGGCTCCAAATACCGTTTTATCTAGAAAACCTGGTTTCTATTAGAAAAAATTATACTCCAAATACCATTTTATCTAGTATAGAAAAACTAGTTTAATTTCCAGTGAGATTTTAATAAAGTATTAGGTTTGAATTGAATGCTTAGCCTTTTGGCCTGTCACCACCTGCTTTTGGGAATTCAGGTTCCAATTCATATGCTATGTTGTAGGAAAAGTGATTGCTAATCTAGAAAAATTGTTTAGAAAAAAGTATCCCTAATGCTTGTTTCTTGTTTTTATTACACGGAAAACAAACGCGTACACATGCACACAATTTGCACCCACATCCGAATACTTCCCTCACACACATTGGTATGACAACCCTGGTATGACGGATCGAGAAATCCTACTGAAGCATTGGTTGGCATCTTGAAGCATTGGTATGATAGATCTAATACGTGTGTTTGTTTGCTTATGTTACCTGCTCTAATGAGGATGTCAATCTACCATTGATTTTAGAACACGTTAACTTTTTTTGAACCAATTAAAGGGCTTGAACCTCTGAATGCTCGTTTCCATTGACATTGAGAACAAGAAACCACAATCTAGCTCGGAAAATAGGCTACCTGTAGAGCTCCCATCTATTTTTAACCATGTCTGCTAGCTTGCTTGTTTGGAACACAACGGATGAGGCCGTTGTGTTAATTACCATGAAACCAAAGCTGTTCGATTACATCATTACTTTGCAAATTCAATGTCTATGCTTCTTGAAGTTTCGATGGTTGGCCGACTAGAATTGAGATATTTGATTCAGGATGCCTCCCAATCCTATATGTGTAGGCGTACAGCTACATTACAAACTAGCTTGTGAAGCACTAAACCTATCATAGATATGTATATTTTCCGCGTACAAGTTGTCAGTTCTGTTTACATGTTCTGGTCTTATTTTATCTACTAATTATATGGTACAACTATATGGAAGACTTCCCGTGAAAGGGCATGTAGTCTATTAGTTGTAGTGGCCTGAGTAGCACCCCTGAAATATATTGAACCATTTGTTCATTCCATTTTCTTTTGCTATAATTACAGAATTGGTCAAGAAAATAATTGTAATAAAATGAGAAGCAACATGAGATTCTAGATTATCGCCAGTAAAATCTCACTCTCAAGTTATCCTAAACAGGGTCTTCGTCTCAGCATTTAGCGAGCACGCAATTACTGCAACTTCAACCAGTGCAGATGCACACGCCGTGACTTCTTTTTTTGGCTTGTGCTGATAGAACCAATTTTCTTCCATCTGCTAGGAGGAGCCTATGGGAATTTAACTATTTGCCACTTTTAGGTTAGGCAATTATCCAAATGTCTCTCTTAGATTCGCACTTAATAATTTGCCACTAGAGAGAGATAAATAGTTAAAAAATCACCTCTCTCCAGTGGCAAATTATTAAATGTGAACATAAGAGGGGCATTTAGATATGTGCCAAACCTAAAAGTGGCAAATAGTTAAATTCTCCGAGCCCTTGTGCTGTGTTTGCTCCGTTGTTTAGACTACATAGCAAGAGGCAGCCTTGCAATTAAACCGGGGACGTTCCATTGCAGCATCAGAACATCGAAAATGCTGCTAGCCTGCTAGTCATTTGAATTTGGAAGGTTGAAAAATAAGAGATGCACTTCTCGGCTTCCTAATGCCTCCCAATTCCATGTATTTAGGCTGCAATACACATACACCACTGAAGCACTGGTCCCGTCATGTATGTGTAGATCTCGTGGAGAAGTTCTCGGCTGCCATGTTCTCATCTTTTGTTTCTCTTTCTGCTCTCCTTTTATCTGCAGAGGAAGCAACCCATAAAAATGGTTGTACGAATGTACACACCCTTATAAATTCGTAACTTACATGTCTTTTTAATTTGGGTATGCTGGAACAGTATATAGTTGCAAGTGGTTACAAGAAGAATGCAATGGAAACTAGTTATTATATTTAATATGGGCACTCACAAATCATGTGCCTGCTAGTTGTTGGGAGAAAATGCAGTCGATGCTCTATGTCTAGGCGTCTAGTTAAAGTACAAAGTATGTTTTTAATATATGGTATGGGTTCCTTAATTTGTTTGGTTTGCCCTGCACGATCAATGTTATTTCTTAATCATTGCACGATCAGCGTTGGATTAGCTGAAATGATGTAAGGCCGTCACTACTACAAAATATCAAATAGGTGTCGACGTATCATCACGACCAGTGGCACCACTAAAACCGGCACCTATAAACCTTTTCCCACCTTCACAGGTTGAAATCACAAAAAACCGGAACCTTTAAGTAATTATAGGCGTCGGTTCTAAATAAAAACCAACACCTATTATACTTTTGTGTCAGTTTTTTAAAAAACCGACACTTTTAATATATTATAGGTGCCGGTTAATTAAAAAACTGACACCTATAATATCTTATAAGTGCCTATATAAATCGAGCCGAGCCGGCATCGAAAGAGCCGACCGGTGGGCCCCACCATGACGAGACGCGGCATCGGATAAGGTTCGCTCGTTGTCTCGCTCTCATCGTCTCGCTCCCATCTCGCTCTCTTCTCTGTTTCTCTCCCTTCCTTCTCTCTCGTCTCGCTCTCTTCTCTCTCCCTCCCTCCCTTCTCTCCCACGCGTTGCCGGCGGAGGCGGCAGCAGTGACCGCGCCCTCCCCACTGCTAGATCCGGCGGGAGGGGAGGCGGTGGTGGGGAGCTGAAGTGGAGCCCGCGACTATGCCTGCCCGGTGGCTGGAGGGGAGCCCGCGGCGGCCCGGCGCCCAGAGGGGAGGTGGCCGTGACGCCCTCCCCTCCGCTAGATCTAGCGAGAGGAGAGTCGGCGACAGCCCGACGGCGGCAAGAGTGACGTGGCTCACGGGCGGAGAGAGAGATGAATATTGCCAAATTTCTTTGTGTGATGAATGTTGCCAAAAAAATTCTTGTGGATGCGGGAGGACGAACTGCACGGCTCGATGCGTCGGCTCGATCGAAATGACGCATCGAGGCATCTTTTTTTTATTCATCGAACCTAAAAAGTGCTGGTTCTAACCGGCACTTTTTTTATTTTCAATCAGTGACACATCCCTTGTGTCGGTTAAGAAAACCAGCACCGAAGGGGGTTTTCCAACCAGCACTTAATCCCTTTTCTGTAGTAGTGCGTGTTCATGATGTCTCTCACTGGGCCAAATATTCTGAACAAACTTATAGCTCTAGCATATGGCCGTCTCTAATGGCCGGAGAGGGCATCATCGCCGGCCTCCATCGCCGGATTCTGCCAAAGTCCTCCCTGGCCTGTAAGACTGTAGGGCACCCGCCGCGACGCCGCTGTTTCTCGCCGAGCCGCGCCCAAACCCTCTAGCTGCCGAGCCTTGTCGTGCCAGCCATGGCTCCGCGTCTCTCCCCTGCTCCCCTGTGTGCGTCGCCGTGCGACATGTTCAGCGCCGCACGCCTCGCCGACGACGCCATTTCCGCTCAATCCCTGTTCCGGCCACGCTGAAATGTCCCCACGTCGCCGGCCCCACTCCCTTACCGCCGCACAGTAGACATCCGGCACCCGCCCAACCCAACGTCCGCCGGATCCTAGAGGGGCTTGTGGTGATATGTGACGTAGATGACACACACTTTGCAAGTTCTGGGACCTAAATCTGTATTCTGAGTGATTAGAGACCTATATGACACAACCCTATAGGTTTAAGGACCGTCCATGCCCTTTACTCTTGTAAAAAAATTTATTATAGCGCCGTAACTTTTGACGTGATGTTTAACCTTCGTCTTATTAAAAAATATAAATATTATTTATTTTGCTGTGACTTGTTTTATCTCTACTATTATAAAAATTTAAAGTGTTTTTGCCAGTACTTCGGTACGTCATAGTTTTTAAGATCGTTCGCTTTTGGAAACATATACGTATTTGAGTCGGACTTTAAATTCGTTCGTTTTTGGAAATACAGAATAAGCTGTATAAGAAATATCTTTAACAAACCTTGTATGCTAACTTGAGATGATCGGACTCCTAATTGCAACTCATGATTTTATGAAAAAAAATATATCCAATCGAATTCCCACAGTGAATTCCACATTAATTAAACCGTATAATAATAATAAGATTGAAATAACCTTCACCTGTTGCAACGCATGGCCATTTTTTCTAGTTATAAAAAAGTATAATCTTAAGTTATACTTTTACATATTTGTACTAAAATTTTAAAATAAGGTTAATAGTCAAACGTTATATGAAAAATCAATAAGTTATACGTTAAAATACTGGAGGGATTAGTATTATGTCTAGCAAAAAAGAACTGAAATTGGCGTCCATGCATGGTAAGCATTATGTCATAGAATGGCCTTGAAAAGACGCTTGTTACAGTGTTGAAGAACAATTCAATCCTACGGTTTTCGAAGTCTTGATGTGGTGCTCACACAACATCGGCATTCTTCCCTTCATCAACATGCAGTCGCGGCAGCATCTATTTCCAGTACTGTTTTAGTGTCATATATTATCACTCCGACAATAATTCATTTTGCCTTCCGATATATCCGAGAGACAGGCCGGCTAGCCCTGATGTCCTTCCACTGGTTCCTATAGCCCTCCAATTGCCTCCAACGCTTGCATTGTTCAAAACATATAGGATGAGGTGGTTGTGTGTTACAGTGAATCCAGATAGGTTTTTATCGCATTGGTATATATAAAAACCTGGATGTTGATTGTAGATACATAACCAATCAGGAATCATAGATAGTTGGCGACATTGGCGTATCCACCGTTGGGGCTTTTTGGGGCTCGAGCCCCAGCTCCACGGTTGTGCATTTCACAGTCAGGTTCAGGAATAAAAACGTTGCTGTCTACTGCCTCATTATATCTTTATTGTCAGGGCCTCTACGACATATTCTAGCTAGCTGGACTGGACATTAATCCATCTGTTGTACTAGTATGTAAACGTGAGACTCTTTATTGGTAATTTAGGTTTGGAAATCTTTCAGTGTATGGGCGCATCATTCCTATCAAATTAATTTTGTTTGCCAGAATTTAGTGGATATAACTGCACATTAAAGTGGAGAAGCAAGGTTAACAAGTACTTTTCCAAATAATAAACGACGAGCTAGAGTTATTTTATTTTATATGATGCCACCCTCTTTCTATTTATTTATTAATTTTACGATTTGATTAGCAAAATACGTCATGGATGTATATTTAGCTGTCTTAATTAATTTTATCTAAGTTTTATACATAGCACCCCTCTATTTTTATTCTAGATTCGCCACTGGTCGGCGAAATGACAGAGTTCACCTTCCGATCACGATGACTCCCATTCCGATGTGTGGTGTATATATATGTAGCTATATATGCTACGTGCCTTATAAGTCTTTCATTGGTATATATGCATCTCACAGATAAGTTATCGGTTGCCGTAATCTGAACTCTTCTCATTGATCCCGTTTTATCTACTGAGGAACTAGTAGCACATATAATAAAAAAATATATGTAATTATAAGTTCATGAATAAGAGGCTATCTAGTCTGAGCATGTGGAATTGAATGTATACTAGTTGCAGAAAAATGATACAGCTGAACTAAACGAGCCATTCCTTATTCAATTTTCTTTCATTATATATATATATGACAAAAGTTTGAACCAATATATGGTGCCCAACAAATTATATTTATCTGGACAAACTGGTTTCTAGTAAAAGTTTAGGCTTCAAATTAATACCGCTTTCTCTAGAAAAACTAGTTTCCAGTGAAAAATTAATAAAGTTTTACGTTTGAATGGTTAGCCTTTTGGCCTTTTATCACCGGCCTTTTGGAATTCTGGTCTCAATTCATATGCCCATAACAACAACTAGGTTATAGGAAAAGTGATTGCTCATGTTGGAAATTTTTTTTAGGAAACAAATATCCCTAATGCTGGTTTTTTTAAAATTATTACATGGAAAAAAAACATGTACAGGTATCACTGCAAGGTACACATGCACACAATGCATCATGCCTTGCCTAAGTTCGGATGAATTAACCATTTAGTTTATCCGTGGAATAACTATTTCACATCGAAGTGCATCTGACGGCTAAAGCATGTGCTTCGTAGCACAATTAGGGAAGGAGAATTGGAAACACCACCACCTATTTGATTACTCTAACACCAATAACATAGGTGTAGCATATGCACTCACAGATCATTTAAGGTAATAGGCACATAACTCCCACCATCACTCATTGACAAACTAGCAATATCCATTCAAAAATAAACCAAACATGACAAAGTTTACCTGATAAATTGGAACTTCTAGTTTGGACAATATTGTGCTAAAGCGAATACCACTGTTACATCCAAGAGCTAGCATCCTATTGCTGCCTGCATATGAAAACCTGCTTGCCAGATTGGAGATAATAAACACTGCATTTCACAGAAGGATAGGCCTCTAAAATGCCACTGAGTTCCCTGCATCGACAATCACTCGGTGTAACCTTCCTGGAAAATCTGACGGTCACTCTTTCGAGCACGGTTGCGCATCTCAGGAGCACCTTCAACAAATCAACTTCATGGTTTTGTCCTCTGAAGCCTCTGATTTCTACTTCTTTAAGATCAGTCAAGGAGATACTTTGATTTCTCCAGTTATTGGGCTGGTCGCAACGGCAACTTACAAAGCATGAGTCCTGCGACTAAAAGAAAATTGAAATACAGTGGCCAGTCAGTGATGCTTCCTACTGAATCAACCTAGTATTTTGACATAGAAATTTGAGATCTACTAGACAATAATACAATATTTAACAGAAGAAATAATTACCAGAAATTCATCTAGCAACACCCTAAGCCTTTGTGTAGAGGTACAAATGCCAAGTAGGTGCAGGACGATTGCCCCATAGACATGCCCTTGTGCCTTCAGATCCAGCTCCAAAACAGAAAAGTTGTCCGTAACTTGAAACCGGAATATCTCTTGCTCAAAGCTCCTGGTTGAATCACCTGTCATGACCTACACAACAGATTGAGCACGATTTGAAAATCAATATGACAATACGAGTTCAAGATGTTGAGGAGTACTACACGAGAGGAGACATAGTACATTGGTCTCTAAGTTCAGAGACAGGACGCCACCACGAGGGCGTCGCTGCGACGACGACGACAATGACAGCGAATGCGCGGTTTCGGCTTCGCCGTTGTTGTCCATCTGCTGCATCTGCATAATCCCATGGGGGTCAAGACATGATGAGCTAAAGCTCAAGCTCCACATGCGCCATCTCACACCAAAACTATCGCTCACGGCCTGGCACTCGCAGTTCCATGTCAGATCCTCCACCGATGGCGCCGAGAGCGTAAATCCGCCGGCATCCGTGTTGATCCCGCGACGTGCATCCAGATACAGCCTCTTCAGCGCGGGCGCGACGATGTCGATGGTGATCTTGAAATTGGCATACACCTCCATCTCCTCGAGCGACGGCGAGCGGACGGTGACCGCGGTGGCGTTCCAGAACGGGATGGAGAGCTTGCGGAGGCGCGGGCAGCGCGGGATCATGTCGCCGAGGTCGACGAAGCAGTTCTCGAGGTGGAGGGTTTCGAGCGCCGGGAAGACTCCGGCGGGCGGCAGCGTGAAGCCGGCGAAGTGGACGTCGATCTTGATCGAGGCGGTGCGGTCGAAGCATGGCAGCTCGGTGCTTCGCGCGGACCAGCTGGCGTTCACGACGAGCTCTCCCGGCGCCACCGCCGCGGCGGCCGCGAGCAGCGAGGCCGGGTCGAGGTCGTGGTGGCTGAAGAGGTCGATGTCGAGGAGCGCGGGGGCGGCGCCGCCGGCGGCGGCGACCGTGGCGAGCGCGGCGTGGAGCGGGGCGGGGGCGACGCGGTGGAACGTGAGGACGGGGAGGCGGGCCCAGAGGCCGCGCCACCGGCGCGCGAGGACGGAGGTGTGCGCGGCGGCGCGGGCGCAGCGGAGGGCCGCGAGGATCGGGAGGAGGATGTCGTCGGGGAGGGCGCTGAGGCGGTCTTCCTCCTCCTCCTCCGCCTCACCGCCGGCGGCGTCGGGGAGCGCGGTGGTGGAGCCGCGCGGCAGCAGGCCCCCGCGGCAGCATTCCATCTCCATCTGGTGTTCGCGGCAGAGGTGGCACGTGACCCCAGCCGCCGCCGCCGCCATCTCTCGTGACGTCGACCTCGACCGCCGCGCCGCCGCCGACGATGGAGATTTGCGAGAGAAATGAGGATGGATTAGTAACGGCATCCAAGGAAGAAGTTTAAGGGGCGAGTGATTTTTTCGTGGCTGACGTGGAAATCCAACATTTTTATTATTTTTTTTATTTATTTTCTAGCAAAATGCATATAGGCCTTGTTTAGTTCTCACGTAAAAACTTTTCACACTATCACATCGAATGTTTGGACACATGCATGGAAGTATTAAATATAGAAAAAAACTAATTATACAGATTGCGTGTAAAATGTGAGATAAATCTTTTAAGCCTAATTGTTCCATGAGCTGACATTATGGTTCTACAGTAACTAATTGCTTATGATGAATTAATTAAGCTTAATAAATTCGTCTTGTAGTTTATAGGCGTAATCTGTAATTTGTTTTGTTATTAGTCTATGTTTAATACTTCAAATGTGTGTCCGTATATCCAATGTAACACGTCAAAACGTTTCACCCATGTAACTAAACAGGGCCTTATTTTGTTACGGAATTAAACAAATTCTCATCAGCAAATTATAAAGATATAACCTATTATGAATTTGAGAGCTTCATTCTAAATTCTATAGAGGTTTTTGGTTGTCAAGTTTTCACTCTTATAAAGAGGTTCTAGTTATTATTAGGTGCAAGGATGATATAATTGATAGGTATGAGAGGTGATCTATATTTCTACTATACTCTTTACCACGAGAGAGATAAATCAAGCAATTGCTGATTCGTTGATAGCAGTGCCGGTTCGGTTGCCGGGCATGCCGCACACATGACCAATAAAAAGTGTGAGGGGATTTATAACTCTTCTTGTGCTAATTAGTCATGGCATTGAATCCAAATGATTTAACTAATCTCCAGAAACACGCGCGCATGCATGCGGTAAAAAAGGACCAAGTGATTTAACTAATCTCCAGAAAATCTCTCACACTTAGGGTCTGTTTGGCACAGCTCCTGTCACACCCCAATCCGGTACCGCCGTACAACGGCAGCTGACAGGAGCGTGTCGTAGGAAGCGGTCCACACGGCGCGGACCGCTTCCTACGAAACCGTGATCTCAGTACCAGTCCTAAGACATAGCGCTGGTACCCACGGTGACAAATATGAATCATTGCAATCCTTAAAATAAATAGATGACTTATTTATCTTAACTTAGGTTGCAGCTCAGAACAGCCCAAGAATGCAACCGATGACACGGACGAGGAAACACCAACAACAGCAGCAGCAGCGGAACCAACAAACTAACACCTAACACCACAGGCGACGGCTGAGAATCAGGACGAAACCCTAATCTTCACTTCATCTTCACTTCCAGGCACAGGAATTATATATATTTATATAGAGCAAGGATGAGTACTTTCGTACTCAGCAAGTCAAGAGAACTTAGTTGTTTAATGCAAGCTTGGAAGAGAGGCAAGATTGTGTTGCAAATCTTTTGTTTGAAAGCATTTTGGAATCACTAAGTGATTTATTTCTTTTTAACTTTGGGTCGAAAAGAGACTTGCGTCTCGATTCAACTTTAAGAGATGCTTTTCAACAACTCAAATGGTAATGTACCGACCTCCTGGGGTCAGATCATTACTTCTCGGCTCCCAGAGCCACTTCACTTGATTAACCGGCTCTCAGAGCCTTTTTCATTTTCTCGGACTCCCAGAGTCCAGCTGCCCACCAGCACAACAATCCGCTTCCACTCGGGAAGTCTAGTCTATGATGCCCGCAGACATCCCGAATCACACAGATTCGTTTCTGACCACTCAGGTCCTCCATCTGCCACATAGGCTGATTCTGGTTACGATTCCCACACCACAACAAATTTTCACAAAGCACAGGCCAACAAATCTACACAACGGGAACCACCTCACATCCGCCCATAACCGTGGACACGGCTGTTCGAATAGTTAGTTAACCTCTGCAAAGGGGTACACTTCACCCACAAGACACGAACTTACTCCAGACACTGGCCAGTGTCAGAGATTCGCGACAAAGCCTTTCCCAAGCCGACCCAGGGTTACCTCATGCCACATAGAAGGATCAAATCCTCACATAAATATAGGCCATTTTAGTTTTCACAAATCAAACTCCAACCACTCGATCGATAATTCAGCAAGCTACTCTTCCTTCTTACCAGGAACCCGGTTTGGCTCCAACCGACCCCGCCCCGGCGTTCCCAACTATTGGCATGCGAGGTTTCCCTGAACCGACTACTTACTTAGCCAGTGTGTCCCATTCCACCTTGTGGTTGCACTTTGATTATGCTCGATGAGTTTCCCACAGGAATCGGTCCTTATATGCGAATACGGGACAGTGCCACACAGGCACAACCGCCGCATCGCGAGTTTTCACAATTCATTTTATTTTTAAACACACCGACACCTCAGGTCGGGTTTTCAAGTCTTCTCAAACCCATTTCTCAATTTTTCGACAATCAACGGTGTATGTGGGATATTTGGTATACGCGCTTAGAGAGCACGGATACCGAAGTACCACAAAGGTGGAGCGACAAGGAGTCAGGGTAGTACAGCCTACAGGAATTAGTTCGACTACTGGGTAGGTCCGTCGGTTTGGCACGCAAACCGAGGCCAAGCAAATTAAGTGTGTGATTCTAATAATGCAAGTTACAAACAAAATAATAATGATTTTCCAATTATAGGAGCAATTGATCAAAGGGTGACTTGCCTTGCTCAAGGTCTTCAGGGAGCTTCACGAATCTTCGAGAAAACCACGATCGACGAAAAATCCGGTAACCGCAACTATACGCAAACAATCAAAAACCTAAACAAAAGACTAAAAGAAAGATCCTAATTAGACTAATTAATAGTGCCATTAGATAGATCTCAATTTTACGAAATCACTGGAGGTTGAACGGGGGCGATCGGACGAACGGTTGAGAAGATATGAATTTCGGAAGCTTAAATGGAATTTCTGGAATAGGAGAAATGGTTTATGGAATTTATAGAAATAATATTCTCCAGAATATTATTGACAGTCACTTACGTGCGGGACCAAAGGAATTGATTTATGCAATTTTGGAATAATAAGGAATTGATTTATGGAAAAGGAAATGGACGAGGGATGTATATTAGACTTTCTCGGGCGGCAAGGGCGTGGCCCGAGGTTTGAAGGAGGCTCGACCGAGCCATTTGGGCCGGCGCGGGCGCGGGGAAGGCGGCCCATTACGGTGCGCGGAAGAGAGAGGGAGCGGTCCGGTGGACCGGGAGCACCTCACGGGTCCCGGGTGGGGCCCGCTTGTCGGTGACACGGCCCACGGTGGGATGGGCGCACGCGAGGGCGGCGCTAGGGTTCGGTGGGGATGGTGCACGAGCGGTGCGCCGGATGGACCGAGACGCGTCGGGCCCACGCGCAGCCTCACGGCTCGCGGTGGACCACGCGCGCGAGCGGGAGACGGAGGGAGCGGCTGACCGGGGTCAGCTTGACCCGGTCCGGCCGAGCTGGCGCCGACGTGGCGCCTTCCTGGCAGCCACGCGGGCCGGCGGGAGGAGGAAGAAGAGGGGATGCCGAGATGGACAGCGGACGGCGACGCGCATCGGCAGAACGGCGGCGAGGCGCGGCGAAAGGAAGGGGGACCACCGGAGCGACGAGCGGAGCGAGGAGGAGCGAGCCAACGGGACAGATTAGAAGAGGAAGGGCCGACGACGATGAATCGCGGCGGAGGTCACCGCCGGTGAGAGGAAGAGGGAAACTCGCCGGGAGGGGAGAGGGATCGATTCTCGGCGGGGGGAGCACCTCCAGCGTTCAAGGAATGCGTTTCCGGCGCCGGATGGGACGGAGGAGCACCGAGGAGGGCCGGCGACGAGCGGCGGCCTCCGGGAGCGGACGGCAATGGCAGCGAGGCCATGCGGGGCGGCAGTGGGGCTCGGGGCGGTGTCCACGCGCGTTCGGTAGTGCTACGGGTGCTAGCTCAAAAGCTAAGGGCACGAGAGAGAGCGGGGAGGGAGAACGGAGGAGGCACTACCGAGCCGGGCGCAGTGATGGGCGGCCGACGGCGCGGGGTGAGCTCTCCGGCCTCGGGCCGGGGAAGGGGAAGGAGAAGGGTGCCCGGAGTCCCCTTCTCGTGTCCTTCGCACGCACCGGTCTCCCTGGTGCTTCGGCGATGGACGGAGAGGGCGACTGCAGGGCAGGGGCGATAGTGGCGCGGCAATGTGGAGAGTGAAGTGGGTAGGGTTGAGAGGAGGGGCTCGGCTGCAGTTTTATAGGCACGTGAAGTCGGTTTGGGAGAGGGAACCGACATTGGCGGTCAAGGGAGCTCGGCTGGTGGTCACAGGCGACCGAAGAGCGGCGGACGGCGAGGATGCAAGGGGCGACGAAGGCGGTGGATCGAGCGGTGGAAATCGAACCACGAGCGCGGGCTGGCAGCGTGGAGCGGTCAAGGTGGGGGCGGCGAGCTGCTGCAACGGCGGTGGAGGTGACAATGGCGCCGGTCATGGAAAAAGAAGAAATGGGGAGAGAAAGGGAGCTCTGCCCATGCCATTTTGGGAGAAAGGAGGAGGGAGAGAGCGCGAGCTCTAGCTCTGTGTTTTGGAAGCATGCAGCATGGGGGCATCGGGACCGGGCGATGACAGCGGCGACGACTGCAAAAAGGCGAGCGGGGTCGGGCGGCTGCGCGGCGCAGGCGCGGCAGGGCTGACGCGGCGGCAACCGGGCGGCATGGCGCGCGCGCGCGAGCGCGCGGGAAGGGCGAAGGCGGCGCGATTTCAAAGGCAGAGGCGGGAATCGGCGCTGGGAGGGAGTGAAACGGGGAGAGAGATCGAGAGAACGAGAGAGAGAGAGAGAGAACTCGGCTCGGCGTCAGCTCAGCACACGCGTGTGCGGCGCACGTGCGGAGAAGGGAGGGGATGGCTGAGAGAGAGAGATGGGCCGAGGGGGACAAAATCGGCCCACAAAACTTGAGGAAGGCGATTTAGACTTTCACAGAGAAGGCTGGTTTGTTGAGAATTGAAGTTTGGATTTGGATTCAAATTCGATATTCGAACTCGAGGGTTCAGGGTGGAATCAAGGAAGACTCAAGGAGAAATCAAGGAAGAGATTCAAAACGGAAACTTGGATATTTGTTCTCGGGAGTATTGGGTG